TACAATAAAACCCTGGGGAACACCTACATTTATAGACTTGGAAGAAGGGAATGAGCTTACAAAGAAATAGCAAAGGAATAGTCACAGAGAAATTCATAGAGTCCCAGGTTTAAGAAGCCAGTGAAGAAGGCGCTTCAAGAAAGAAAGAGAATATATCCTCTGAAGTGAGTAGCATAGAGCAGCAAGCCTAGCATACGAATGAACACTTCTGAATCCTAAAAGCAAGACCAGCTTTAAAATACTCTAATCTGTTTGTCACTGTTATCAATCTTTGAATCTAATAAGATTTAATTTATTTTGTGTAATATTTACTTCAGGTAATAGCCGCTTGGAACTACCTTTGAAAGCACATCTGACACATTCTCAGCATGGGTGGATATACGACATCATCATTCTTTGTATTAAATTATGACCATAATGACAATTGGGAAAAAATGTAAGCAACTAATAGAACACCAATAGGTTTTCTTGAAAAGCTCACTTGGAGAATCTTCTCTGGATGAAAGCTCAATAATTTTTTGCTTTACTACTTCCTCCTGTTACTTCACTCTGTACTCCCATATACTTCTGCATAAGAAAAACTTTATTAATTTCATGCATAACCACATAATGAATCATAATTAAGATTCAGAGGAGCAATAAAACAATTTTATACTACCACCTGTATATACCTTCTAAAAATAGATGTTTATTAGTTACTTAGTTTTGGTCAGTATTCCCTTGGAAGATAATCTACCTGGGAACAATAGGGAAGTTAATCTCCTGTTTGCTGCATTCCCAAACCCAAAACTGTGCTTGACATATTGTAGGTGCTCAGTAATATGTACATAATAAATAAATGAATACATGCTTAAAGTCGCATGGCAGGAGGTAGATATAAAAATGTTGGTTGGGTTTGCAGTTTAGTCAGAGATGCAGTTCCTAATATCAAGTTACGCATTTGAAATCCAGGCAAACATCTTGACTTGCTAACATCTCTAGCTGCCTTTTAAGCCCCAGCCCCATTTCGGATGTTTCCATGTTAAAGTCAAACAGGCTTTTTGAACTCTAGGTGTCCCAAGCATGATTCTTTCCTTTTCTTCCTGCACCACCCTTCCCCAGCCGAAGAAAACCCCTTCGCCTCTTCAAGGCTTTTCTTATCTTTGAGAGAAGCATCATCCTCAACCTGTTCATCTGAGTTATAAAAATTTTCTACCTTCATCAGAAGTCCAGCCAATCACCAAATTCTATTAATTCGACTTCTACAATTTCTTTCATATCCACCTTCCAAATCATCTTCGTTCATAGAATGACTTGCATTTTCCCAGCAGTTGCAGTGACCTCCTAGGAATTCTGGTGCCTCTAGCCTCTCTCTTCTTCATTCAGTATTCCATATTGTCAGCCAAGATTTGCTAAAAGAAGCAATTGATACAAATCCTCATTAACCAACAAGAGAACATGAGCGAAGTTCCTTTTCTGCATCTATTCTAGGCTTAAGGAATACGTGCTTGAAGCCCACAGAGGGTTCTTTGTCTTATAGAGGGGCATAGAGACTAGATAGGCTTATGTCCCTGCCCTTCTCAGACTTCTCCTTCACAGTAGAGTAAAACTTAACCGCTTAAGATGATATTCCCAGACCTTTAAGTGCAGACTCTCTTGCCTTTCTAGCTTCATCCCATATCATTTCCAAAACCCTAAACACAGTCTACCTGGATCCTGTATTGTGTCGAGAGAGTTATGCACTTCCATCCTGAGTTATGCCTTTTCATCTCATTTCCCTAACTGGAATGAGTTTCCCTTTCCCCTACACACAAGATAAAATGCCATTCATTCTTCGAATCTCAGCTCAAACGTTAGCTCACCTATGTGTCCTTACCCATTACACAGACTTCATTTATTTCTCTGTAAGAACAAAGACAACCGCTGTGGAGCAGATTCTGAGCAACACAGAAACATATGTTCCTAGTGAGTCCATTTATTGTTGAAGGCCTCTTATTACTAAGTCTTAATCTCTACCTAATTCACTATTTTCAGTATTAAGTTCATATCAACTACTATGTTTGTAAGAATTTCCTAGGTTCCATAGTTTATGCTCTCTAAAGCATTACTCATCATTGTGCAATGCTGCAATAGCTGCTGTGTTCTTTATGTGTCAAGTTCTTGTCTCTGATCTGTAGCAATGGAGGAGCTTTTCAGAACCCCTTTGGTAGAAAGGCTCATGCCGTCTTTGGAGTTAAAGATGGAAATGGATCCTCTACTAAACTGAAAAAAAAAAAAAGTAAAAGCCTTTATAACACATCCCATGCAATATTGTTAAATATTTTGTTTTTCCTTCGCTCTCTGATATGGCTCAGGAACAGTTGCTTGTATAATTGATGCTTAATATTGTGTGGGTTACAAAAGGACATGAAAATATCTTTTTATCATGAGTATAGATAGTTACCTTGGGTATTGTTTGATAGCTAAAGTGCTTTCACTGATGACCATCCAACTCAGTTTAATTGTCAGCTGATACATGTTAGAACTCCTTCATATACTGGCTAATTTCCGCCAGTTTATAAATGATGACTGCTAATGTCAAGGCGGTTCAAAAATAGCAAAAACTTGATTTCCCCTTAATATCCTGAGGATCATATTCATGGGCACCGGGAGTCTGGACAATAAATCTAATGGATTTTTGTCATCATATTTAGAATAAACAAATCAATGCTAGAAATTGTTTCTAACAGGAGATAATAAAGGAAATGGGCAAACAAAAATAAATACAGTCTCTGTGAGCCAATTGTTTTCTGTAAACTGGATGAGATTTTTTTAAAGTGGGCAAGAATTCTAAAATTATACAGTTAAGCTAAATAACATAGTATTTGCTCCTGTCATTAATTGACTTTCAATTGGGACCAAAATTGGTGTTTAAATGTTGTATTATAAAGAAGTACATGCAAATTATTTACTAGTGAATATTTATTTAATTGGACAGAAGTAAGTGAGAGTGTTATTTATCCTTAGCATGGCCAATTTTAGGCAAGTAATTGCAGGATGAGGAGTAACTCCAGTCCCTGTACCTGCGGTGAGATCACTGAAGAACTCAGTGTTTGTAGCACACAGAGTGGCCACGTTTACATACCTGAGTGCATTCACAGTATAACCAAGCCCAAATCCTCAGCCAAATCTCTAAGGGAATCTGGGTTTTACCTTGCAAACTTTGGCTGCTAGGCACAGTTACAGAGCCTTGTTATGCTGTAGGCTCTCAATAAAAATGTTTGCCCTGGAGTATTACAAAGGCTTTCTTGGTACAGAAATTCAGACAAGATCCGGAAGCATCAGGTGAAAATACAGGAATGAGTAGAAGGAGCCAATTCTAAAGTTTTCTGAAGTCAGCTCATGCCTTCATATAACAGTGAGCCTCCTTAGTCTGTCACTCAAACAAAAAAGATGGACATGTAATTTACCTAGAAATATGGATGCCTCTAAATTTTAAAAAGGAAAATCATTTAAAACATGACATTTATAAAGTATCTTAAAATAATATTTGGTTTTATACTATGGTATTTTAATGGTAGAGAAATTCAGTGCTATGAAATTCTAATGATATTCCAATATTAACTAGGATAATTGTTTTACAAAATCTGAATATATTAATATAATCTCCATTTTTCATTTTTAAGAAATATTATATCTAAATATAATAATTTTCCTTTGTTATATATATCAAAATTCAAATATTTGTGATATTTATGTTATACTTTTTACTGTTGATCTTAACAATAATCTAATAAGCTTTCTACTTAAGTCAGTGACTATATTACAGAGTTCCTCTTCTAGATTTGCCTTTGTAATCAGGTTATGAGCCACATAAAAATTCCTAATATGTTATAGTTGCATCTTGTTCTTAACTCAAATGTCATTGCTCATCTTGATTATTTATGTTGTTTATCATAAGGAATTCCACCTGATTTTTCACAGCCCCTCAAAATAAAATTTATCTTTTAAGTTTATTTAAAAGAATAGTACGTACTTCTGAAAAAAGTAAAAATTGATTCTGAAATATTTAAATGACTGTTCACAAGAATAAATGCATGACTTCACAAAGTGACTATTTCATACAGGAAAGCAATTATTTGGATGTGTAAGGCATAGTATGTGTGGTCATATTTTTTATCTATTTACTTATGAGTGAATTACCATATTAGCATGAAAAGCTATCCTTAGCATCAAGGAGGCTTTTGTTTTAATTCCTGGTTTTAAGTGCATTTGCTTAGTTGAATATTCATTTAGCTTTTATAGTACCAAAAGCAGTGGGTGAAATGTGGCTCTAGGGGCTTCTTCATGGCCTTTAATTGTTTCAGGAGAAGCTTTACTATTTATCAATTAATCCTGGGTACCATATTTTGTATAGAAGATTGAATTTTTTTTTTTTTTTTTTTTTACATAGGAAAGACTGGATTAGTGACTTATGACCGTGTATAGTAGGTGTTTAATTACTATCTATTAAGTGGATGTTGGATGTCAGACATGAACTGTCATATTTAGGTTTTCTGACATTTGAGAGAAGCATTCAACTTTGGTGAGACAAGAGAGAAGATTGTGTTTTCGCAAAAGCACCCTTTAGAGAACAGATTGCAGGGATGTGTATTCATAAAATGACGTATGAACTTTTTGCTCAGCTTTAACCACTTTCCTCAATGCTATCTCAAAGCAGCAACTTAAATTCAATCATGCGTTTGATCAACACAATGTTTATTAAACACCTATTGCACGCCAGAGTCTTCCAGGGATGGGAAAAACAGCTCCTATGGAGTTTGCATTCTAATGGAGGGAGTGATAATAATTCCCAAAGATGTTGAAATTCATTTGTGAGCATGTTTCTGATTCTCGACAAAATATGAGTCCCCATGTGGTGGAATCTCACTGGCATAATCTGATGAACTTCATAAACTGTGTCACAGCAGAAAGTGCCAATTATTTAGTTTGAGCAGATCTAGACAATTTGAATATCTAACACCTAGTCTTCTTTCACCCAGGTTGTAAATGGCCTGCTTAAGAGGAATGGTTGAGCCAATCATCAGTAAGGTATTGTATATCTCAAAACTGCTAGAAGAAGGGACTTTTTATGTTCCCACCATAAAGAAATGATAAATGTTTAAGGTGATAGATATGCTAATTACCCTGATTTGATTATTATACAACATATACATGCATTGAAACATACTGTATTTCATAAATATGTACAATTATTATGTGTCAAAAATTTTTTAAATGTTTTAAAATGAGAGGGAAATGGTTGACCACTCTAGATTTCACAGGAATTAATTACCAAATAACATATCATGACAGAACATTCTTGGATGTTATTTTAGAAAATAACACATGTATTGTCAAAACACTTATTTTTAGTACAGTCTTTAATAAAGCCTTTATTCACTTATTTGGGGCTTTGGGGCTCTCAATCTTAGCATTAACCACATAAATAAGGGGTGATAGGCACAACATAAATTAAGTCATTAGTTTAGAATCGCTCTCCATGAGGCTGCCTGTAGATTTTTTTTTATCATCCATCTAAACCACAGAAATAAAAATTGAGTGAATACTTTTCTTTATGAATCCATTTCCCAAAAGCATGAAAAATATTCCTAGCGCTAAGGAGGTGTTTGAAAAATTTATTTATTAAGGATCATTTGTTTAGTGGAATGTTCACTCAGCTTTTACAGTACAGTAGTACCAAGAGTAGCTAGATTTCTGCCTTAGAGTCTTGCACAGTATGACCTCACACAGCTCTTTCTTCCAAACATCATATGCCAGTCATTACCTGCATATGTCTAAGAGGGCAAGGATCCCCACCCTCTATGGCCACCCCAAAGCATACATACCTCATGCATGAAGTTCATTTACATTCTTACAAATTGACTTTGGGTGAAGAGTTATGAAAAGCCTTCTCTTCTTTACCCTGTATTGCTAAACATTTGCCTTGAATGACTTTCCTGAGAAACTGAGGTTCCCCTGGCAGTCAGTATTTACTGATTCTAAATTCCTTTAGAAATCCATGATCTTCTAAGAAAGTTCCTCCAAGTTGATCCTAAGAAGGTATGAATAGTTAATTATGTTACAATGTATGCCTCTCCCTTTGCTGGTCTGCATGTTCTGCTTGCCAGTTTTCCATCTGCAGTTGGTGGCATTAAGCAGCAGCTGCATTCCTTTTATCTTGGTTTTCAATTAGAGATTCAGGAACTAAGCCAGGTCTTGAGATTCTTCCTTTCTGCTCTTTTTTGTTTGTTTGTTTTCTTTTTTTGACAGAGTCTAACTCTGTTGCCATGCTGGAGTGCAGTGGTGTGATCTCTGCTCACTGCAACCTCTGCCTCCCAGGTTCAAGCGATTCTCCTGCCTCGGCCTCCCAAGTAGCTGGGACTACAGGTATATGCCACCATGCCTGGCTAATTTTTGTATTTTTAGTAGAGATGGGGTTTCACCATGTTGGCCAGGGTGGTCTCAATCTCTTGACGTCATGATCTGCCCACCTCAGCCTCCCAAAGTGCTGGGATTACAGGCGTGAGCCACCGCACCCAGCCTCTGCTCCATCTTACGGTCTTATTTGAAATATTTTCACGCATTTGGGGTACCTAGACAAGGAGAGACTAAACAAATGATAGTTTCTCCTCAGTTTCCATTATAGGTTCCATTTTAAGCCTGCTATTGTATATCAATTGCTCTTTTTGTATTGAAATGTAAAGATAGTTTAAATTTGTTTTATAAAAATAACTCCTAAGAAATTGTTGAAACATGGATGTAAAATGCTGTCAATGGAAAAAACGGAGAGAGGTAGAGGTATTTATATTTAGCATTTATTTATTTATTCATTCAATAACTGTTTACTGAGAATCTCCTATTTGTTGGGATCTGTGGGGCATAAATAGATAAGATATAATTCTACTTCCTTAGAACCTGCAGTCTAAATTGGAAAATTCTAATCTTGCCCTGAACCAGCAGGAATCTGAATGCCCGTTCGGATATTTAGACCAACTTTTCTGATGGAAAAGTGTTCTGTCTTCACTGTGAAGCTTATTTTGAAAGACTGACAATGCTCATTGAGGTGGAAGACTGAGGCAGAGATCTCTCTGCATTAGGCATTCCTTGCTGTTTCCATTCTACCTGCTGTTTCCAAAGATAACTACACTCAGAAACCCTTCTCTCATGGGTTTCTCTGAGTACATCCCAATATTCTTAAATAATGATGAAGTAACAGGAAAAAAAATTTAATAACCAAAGTTCAGCTGCATACCAGCAATATTCCATTTAATTCTCTTAACAATGAGATGATACAGATATTTGGCTAATGAAAAACTTGGATACTAAATGGCCAAGCCAAGCCAGGATTCAAAGCCAGGTCTATGTGACTCCATAGCCTTGCACTTTTAAAGTCCTAATTTTGGAGCCTCTTGCTTAGGGTTCTTTCTCTGTGAAGGTGGCACCTATTCTTGGCAGTGGTGGCCCAATGAGCCCTTTGTGGGTAGCTCCCATATGTTCCTCTCTTGACTCTCTGATAACTCCTTTGCTTCCTCAAACAACTCCTCAGGGATTGGACAGTGCAGTTTCGCTCTCTCAGCACCAGCTCCAGAACCCTCTAGTGCAGGCAGTTCTCTAGACCGCTCCCGAGGCACTTACTCAGGGACTGACACCCCAGACTTGGGGCCCTCTGTCTTGAGACCACAGAGCTGGAGTCTATCACCAGTGTCTCAGGTCATCGAATAATTTGGCAAAATCTCATATTTCACTTCATCCTCATCCTTTCTATGCCTAATATGTACACTAAACTTTGGTGGGGACTCAGCAAACATTTGAGTCAATGTTAGAGACATGACCCGCCGCCATATCTGTTAGGCATGCACAAGGCAGTGCTCATCATCACGCCACCATGTGGCCTCTGGCAGTGTCCTTTGTCCCATACTGAGAAACTGCAGACACTGTGCACAGTGTCTCAACTTTTTGTAGTTGTAGTATCATCTCCATTGCTTTTTATTGCTCTAAGTGCACAGTCCACTTAACCTTCTGGCAAGTTAGCTGCTTTTAACCTGCCATGGAATGGATGGATACTCAAGTATTACAAAGCTTTTTTTTACATTATATATAAAAAGACAGATGACAAAACTCCCAGAAAAGGACTCCTCTATGAATTAGTGCATTTGTTTCAGTTTTGAATCTACCAAATTAATTGTTGCCGGTTCTAAGGGCATTTTTGATTCCTCCGTGGTTCTCACCTATATCATGTTATTTGTGTTGCTGAGTCCTTGGAAAAAGTGATTGCAAAGGCTATTTTCTTTTCCCTTGTTCCCACAGATTCTAGAGGGGGTTTGATCTAGATTTTCTGCAGTTTCTTTCCTACTTAGCCATTTTTCAGCCAAAGAGGTTTCTGCTAACATGTAGAATTCCTTCTATGAGGAATCCATGCTATCATCAGTGCGGAGTGATATGTGAGTCATAATTACTATACTCATAAAACTCCTAGAAATGTAGAATGATAAGATATTTTAAGGATTAGTTTGTCTCGTCTTCTTATGTTCAGACTGAGAAAATGCAGATCATGGAGATTAAGGGATTTGTTCAAGGTCCCAGGGATAGTGGGCTCCAAATCAGAAGAAAATCCCAACTTCTAGTTCTAAGTCCATTGCTTTTCCCTCTCTCAATACCCATTGCTGCTGCTTCTTAAAAGAATCAGGAATATCTATTAAATGATTGTAGATTTTATATTTAAGTTTTTGAGTAGTTAGTCTCCTGTAGATGAGCATTCTTTGGAAGACAAAGCAGCAAAGTCAAAAGTGTAAGAATTTAGAAGCCAGACAGACAATAACCAAAAGAAGTTCTATCATTTTCTACCTATGTGATAATGGAAAAGCTATTTAATCCCTCTACACCTCAGCTTTCTGATCCATAAAAACAGCGATTGTAACATCAACATGTAGGGTTACTGTGAGGATTTAAAAAATTAATATTATATAGTGCTTGGAACAGTACCCAGCACATAGTAAATATTCAGTCAGTGAGACATGTAATTCTCGGATGTCTTCTTCCCCTTTATCTTCTAGAAACAGGTAACTTTTTTTTCCCTTTATGCCTAAAAGAGTGAATTTTGTTGCATTGTTATTTTAGATTGGTGATAAATCTTACAGACAAACTAATGTGTAAATAAGCTTAAAATACACATCTGATTTTCACTTTTTGTTTTTTTAAGTCCTGATCTCATTCCCCTCATGGACTGGGGAAAGAGTGAATGTAGGTTTATGAAGACATTTACATGTCATAGTCCAGCATTTTCCAAACAATGATCTTTGACCACCTGCATCAGAATCATCTGTAGGGATTGTTTCAAGAAGAAGATTCCTGGACTCCACCACAGACCCATAAATACTGTATCTTCATCACAGATTCAGTGATGAAGAGGCCCAGGAACCTCTGTGTTATAACAAACACAAAATGTATTTTTATACACTAATTTTTGAGAATCACTGCTGTAGATGAATCGCCAGTTAAACCCCAGATTACTTGACCAAAAATATTACTTCAATCATGCTAATTCCCTGTTTTCTCACTTGTCTTCAATTGGGCAAGGAGGGCTATCAGGCTCTGTGAACCTTATGGCTGTCCTACCTTATGGTAGGCTGAAAATATGCCCCCAAAGATGGCTGTATGTTTGTCCTCAGCGTCTGGGAATAGGGTACTTTATTTGGCAAAGGAACTTTGCAGATGTGTCTAAATTAAAGATCTTGAGATGCGAAGATTATTCTGGATTATCCAGGTGGGCCAAGCGTCATCACAAGGGACTTCAAAAGAGAAGGAAGGAGAATCAGAGTTAATACATGATGACAGAAGCAAGAGACTGGAGTGATACAAGGAAGGGGTCCTGAGCCAAGAAAGCTGAAAAAGGAAAGGAAACCGATTGTCCTTTCAGAATCTTCAGAAGGAACCAGCCCTGCTGGTATCTTGACTTTAGCCCAGGGAGACTGATTTTGGACTTCTGATCTCCAGAACTATAAGATAATGCAAGGCATACTGTCCCTTTGCTCCACCTCTGTCCACTAGTTCTATGAATTTTTCAAAGTTCTGAATAAAACCTTTCTCCTGTCTAAAAGCCATCCTTGACCCTTCCAGCCAAGAGTTATTTCCCATTCTCTGAAGTTCTAAGCCAATCATAATCTGCAATTTATTGTGCATCCAGTTATGAAAAGCTCTGTCTAGGAGTGGTTGTGTGCAAGAGCTTTCAAATCAGAACACCTAGGTTTAAATCCTGATTCTGCCACAACTACCTTGGAGAAGTTTCTTAGACTCTCTAAATCTCATTGTCTTCATTTGTATCAATCTCATCAGATGGTGAAGTTTGGAGATGCTCCACCTAGAAGTGAACTGATATGGTGGCTGAATCAGAGTCAGGACTTCACACCTGTGGCAATCATAGGAGGCATTGTTCCTTCGGCGTAGCTCAGATTATTGTCGTAAACATGACTATTCAGACCATGTTGTTGACATTTTATTAATATGTTCATGTTTGTTTCCCTGTTAATCCCATGAAATTAAGCATGATAATAATTATAATAACAATAATAATAATAGCAAAGTAGTACAGTGAAAGGAGTATTAGGTTTTGGTAGACTTTTTTTTTTTTTTTTTTTTTTTGAGACAGGGTCTCTTTCTGTCACCCAGGCTGGAGTGTAGTGGCGTGATCACAGCTCACTGCATCCTTGACCTCCTGGATTCAGGTGATCCTCTCGCCCCAGCTTCCCAAGTAGCTGGGACTACAGTTGTGTGCTACTACAGCCGGCTAATTTCTGTATCTTTTGTAGAGATGGGGTTTCACCCTGCTGCCCAGACTGAACTCAAGCAATCCTCCCTGGGCTCAAGGATTCTTCACACTTCAACCTCCCAAAGTGCTGGGATTACAGGCATGAGCCACCACACCCAGCCCGATTTTGGTAGACTTTTGTTTCTGTTCTAGCTTTGCAATTTACTGGAATGTGAAAATAAAAGAACATGTTTTATTTATATTTAAAATGGAAATAATAATGGTACTTACCCTTAAAAATTATTTTAGGATGAAGTAAGATTTCAGGATTAAAGTCTTAGAGCACCTAACACATAGTAAAAATTGAGTATGTGTTAACTTATTAACAGTAATTGGTATTTAATTTTCTTTTTTATTTGTTTCTATTCTATACCATGAATCTTGATATACCTTTTACTTTATATATGGCAATAATATGAGAAAGAGGAGGAAGAATACTGGATAAACATCTAATATTTAATGTTATGCTTTGCTATGATATGTAATATAGGGTATAAATCTCACAGATAGTTAGGGTTTGCTGTTGGAGCAATGCTCATGCTATGAATGCATGCAAGGAACACATAAATCCTGCCTAGGAACCTCTCTTCTCCCTTCACTTTTTTTTACTTCTTTCTTTTCTTTTTTCCTTCCTTTCTTTTTTTCATCACAGGTGATCATATAAATAGTTTGGTATCTTAAGTACTTTAAAATCCATTGGATTTTGGAGCAATTTTTCAAAAAAAGTCTATGATTCAATACATTGCCATTCATCATTACCTTCCCTTTACAACCTTTCTGGCTATTTTAGTGCAGATGAGAACTCTTCCATCGTAGCTAATTTGAATTCGTTTTTCAAATGAGAATTCATGAGCTACTATGCTAAAATTAAGGTCTATTACATCTTCTGCACTTCCATTGTCTGCTAATGTTGTAATGTGATTTTTAAGTAATTAACTTTCTTTTGACATGCTTTCTTATTTAGAAACTCAGGTTTATTTGCAAGTCGGTTATCTCTATAGATGTTTATGTATTTTATATAGATGTTTTCTCTGTGGTTTTCTCCCTAATTATTTTAGAGAGACTTGGAATTACTCATTTTTATGTAAGACATATAAAATAGCTCCATATGACCAAGGAAATGTGATACAAAAATGCTAGGAAAACTTGGTAGTAATACTACTTTTGTGGTTAAAGGCAAGGAAAGGAAAATCAAGCCAATTCCTGTAAGAAGAAAAAAGTATACTTGAATATACTAAATAGATGCTTCTTGTCATTCTAATATTTTTAAAGCAAAGAAAAATTTCCTCTTCTTTTTTCTTTTGCTTCTTTTATTCAAAGAAAGACATAATTTTATAAATAACTTGCAGGATTAAACTTACTTGAAAGGCAATGGGGAGTTTCCCCTCTGACCTGTAGGATAGTCAGTTCTTTGTGTATTCTTCCTAGAATACAAAAGGGGTAATTGCAGCAGTTGTAAGTGCCCCCTGGAAACTTTTTCTAGTAGCCCAGTGCTTGGAAATTGTCCATGGACTTACACACACACACCACGTGTGAATTTAATATGAGAAATAGAGGATTCCTTTGAAAAGCTATAAAACATGTGCTCTGTTGAGAGATTTATGCCCCTTGTGTCCCTCCTTGGCCACCGTACACGAGTGCCATGGCTGAGAAGTAAAAGTCAAAGCTGAATGAAGCCCACATTACTTTATAGACTTGAGGACCTGTGGTTTTACTTATGAATAAGCAACAGCTCATGCTTGTACAAAATGCCTGTCTGTCTGGGTCTCTCTCAGTTAAAAAGAGGTATTTTAAATCAAATAGAAAATATATTGTTTAACTTACCATAGGCTTCAGTGCAGAAATACAAGTTATATATTCATAACATGGTTGCATTAGAGAAGGGAAACCATATAAACAATTCAACATAATTCTAGTAATGTATTGGTTCACCCATGATAAAATTAACCACCTATATTAAAGAATACACTACGTTAAAAATTTATTTCTTATGTACTAAAGTGAGGATGTATTTATTACTTAGAATTTTTTCTCTGTTTTTCCCCAAAATGTGGTTTCTATTAAGAAAAAAACTTAATAGAGAATTTGGTATCCTTTCAAATAGACTTTTTAATGCAGTATGAAATTATATTATAATCTAGTTGATGGCAACATTACATTGAGTTATATTAATTATTAATACATCTGTTCCCCAAATCTGTAAACTATTAATATCTTTAATGAAGATCAAGTAGTAATCATTTAATTATTTTTCCTATGCGTGTACAAGTTTCCTCAAAACTGATTAATCATATTAGTTGTTGTTTTGGGGGGAATTCCACAGATTAATTTAAAAGTAGTATATGTGGAGGACATGGCTTGTTTTGAAGAAGCATAGTAGAAAAAGAGAATTTGTATAAGAATTATTTTTAAAGTTGAACTCACAGAAGTAGAGAGTAGAATGGTGGTTACCAGAAGCTGAGGGAGGGAGATGGAAAGGGAAGGAGGAGATGTTGATCAAAGAGTACACAATTTCAATTAGGCAAGAGGAATAAGCTTTAGTGGGCAGTTGTGCAGAATGGTGACTATAATAATAATGCATTGTATGTTTCAAACTTGCTAAAAGATGAGATTTTAAATGTTTTTACCGCAAAAAAGTGGCCAGTATGTAAGGTAGCCGTTTTGTTCATTAGCTTGATATAATCATTCCACAGTGTAAACATATATCAAAACATCACATCATCTCCCATAAATATACACAGTTATTATTTGTCAATTAAACATTTTTAAAATGATTGTGTTTAATCACCAAAGATAGTATGTGTCTTTTATTCTTAGTAACAACCTCCATTTTGGATTAGAATATTTGAATTTTATAGTGAAAATCATCTACAAAATCAGTTATACATTTATCAGATAGTTTATGACAAAAATGGACACATCACAGTCATAGCTTTCTTAGCACAGTTTTCTAAAATGACTTAATCACAAAGTAATTTACAGGCAGAATAAATGGATTTCTTATGTATAAAAATCCTCATCTCACATTGTCTAAGAAAAAAATTGATGTTTGGTTAAAAAAAATTAATTCACAATAATAACACGAGCCCTTACACTTACCAGAAAAACCTAGGTATTTACAAAGTATAGATAAAAATCTGTTTTTTAATATTGCCATATTCTCACAACAAACAGCTTCTTTTCATAAATTTTAAAGTTCAAGGTAAACAGGGCACCTTTAAAAAATCTTGTAAAAGGTGACTGCCGGTGCAGGCACGGCAAATAGGGGAGATGATCAGATGATTAAAAAAGAATGGAGAACAGATTATGAATGTTGCTGAATAAATGCAAAGAAAATTTAATATTATCTTTAATTCTCTTTCATAGTTAAAGGAAAGAAAGAACAGTGAGGAATAAAATAGAGAGGATACAAAAAGCAGGAGCAAAAAAAGATGAAAACCTTAGTTCTAATGCTTTTTAAATATTTTCAAATTGTTTTACAGATGGGGTCTCACTGTGTCACCCAGGTTGGAGCACAGTGGTGTGATCAAATCTCACTGCAGCCTTAACCTCCTGGGCTCAAGCAATCTTGAGGCTTACTTATTAAAGATAAACCATTCACATCACTCTCAGTTGTGACATGCAGAGAAGTGATTTTTTTTGTTGTTGGAATACAAGTCAGTTGGTTTACTACTATAATACTTCAGTCCTTAAATATGAAAACACTTTCTTGAAACTGAGTAAATGTAACCATTAATTTTAAACTGTGATGAACCATATACCCCATGTAGCACAGCAGGGTCTCAGTATGACCTGCCACTGGGGCAAGAGGGACAAAAAGTGAGAGGTGTTCTGAGCAGTAACTTCTCGCATCGTCACTTTTAGCTCCTGGGCTGGAGATTCCTACTTTACATCTTGATCAAGATTTATGGGGAAATTAAAAATGCAGAAAATGTCAAGCCCATCTCTGAAGTATGATTACCAGTTTGTGTAAGATTGTCATCTCATAATATCTAAACATTATTCTTCATATTAAGTTAAAAATGTTTTCACATGAAAATTCAGTGATGGCATTTATGTACTCAGTGTCCATCTCTCTCAGAGAATATCCCTGTTGTTTTCTGAGGGCAGCTACTTTGATTTCACAATTTTTCTGGATTTCTTTTTTACTTTGTAGACATATAGCAGTGATTTACCATGATTGCTTCTAAAATAATTTAGAATCAATAGCTAGCAACTGGTATTCCTTCAATAATGCCTCAGGTTTCTGGATTGGTATGTTAGTTAGCTGTTGCCACAATAATACTGCATAATATATTACCTAAACCTGAGAGGTATTCAGGAAGTATTTATTTCTTCCTCTTAGTTTGGCTGGTGTCAGCTGAGGTTTGGCTTATCTAGGCTGCCTTCAGCTGGGCATGGCCATAAGTTGCAGGTTGGGTGTAGATCTGCTGCAACTTGATTTCGTTCTTCTCGGACCAAGAGCTCTATAAGGCAGAGTCTTCTCATGGCCTTAAGTTGCAGGTTGGGTCTATGTCCAGTGCACCTTTCTTTCATTCTTCTTGGACCAGGAGCTATATGAGGCAGGGTCTTCTCATGGCAAAAGGCAGAGTAACTACACCAAAGCCCAACCTGGCAATAACATTTTAATCCTCTGCTAGTATACTTCTGCTAACATACTACTTGTCAGCAAAAGTCACATGGCCAAGCCTAATATCAGTTAGGAAGGAAAATATCCTTTGATTCTAGTGCTAGGTTATGCAAAGTCATATAGCATATGGTATAGTTATGGGAAAGAGTATTAGAAACAATAATGCAATATACCATGTTCCACCTTCTAGATCACA